CAAAAAATAAAAAAAATTAATGCCTACCAACCTGTTGAGGTTTTTAAACAATTTAAAAATAAAATAAAACTACTTCACAGGGAGCATAGCATATTATATTAGATGTTTTAAACAAACATGTTGATTCATTAAATTAATTAATACCTAACAAATAAAACATTTTTATGTTTTACTTTTTGTTCTTATATTTTACAATGCAATTATAAGTGTTGAATAATTTTATAGTATATTGAAATTGTTAAGATTATCATTAGCTTAAAACAAACTGTGCTCCCACAGGTTTCATGTATGACCATAGAGTAATAATATTGTATATGACACAAAAATATAATTTATCTCTTCAGACTTGATATACTTTTAAATAAGAAAAAAATAATACAAATAAATAGATCGATTGTTTATTATTAAAAAAAAAAATCATTCTAAGGCTTTTTCACACATTTCTAGTACTCCTTCTCTAGTCTTGTTACCACCGATGAATCCACTGGCATGGCAAAAAATACAACCTTGTACTCCAGAAATTGTGCTTAAATCATCATCTCTAATACCACACCAACTTTTTGGCAATGGTCTTCTAAGTGTAAACGAATGTGGAGTTAAAGGTATACATTGTATTCTCCAYGCATCATTTGCAGTATCTTTAAAAATAACATAATCAATTTTTGGTAAAAGGTCATCACCCAGTTCTTCTTCAAGCACAAAATAATGTTCTTTCCAAGGACATGGTGCACTGAACTCTATGACACGACCAGACTTGTGTGTTTCGTATCGTTTCTCGAGTGCATCAACTACCAATGACCTAGCAGGTAACCATGTTTGATATGCATACAGTACAGTTTCTTCAAAYTCACTTTTAATCAATTGCATCGCCTGTTTGAATGCTTTCATATCGTCAAATTTTCCAACATGGTTCCATTTTTTGTTAAAGTTACCGACTCGACTACTCAAATGAGTGTGTATATTGTATTTAGGTAAACCTTCACATATTGGAACACCGTTATCGATAGCATCTACTTCTTGYACAAAGGTTTCATATACTTTAGAATAAATAGTATTCAATTTATCTTCAGGTACGTCGGTTGCCAAAATTGTTTTCAAAACATCGTGGCCGTAATGTAAGTATACCAAACCTGCACTACTCAATTTCGTTGTCCATTTGGAGTTGGGTTTAAGTGTGCTCATCGAATGATCAAAACTCCTTTGATGATGATCATAACGGCGTTTACCGTGATCATACACACCACCAACGTCGATTACAATATCGCACTCGGCTAGCAGTTGTTCATCTCTCGTACGAATTATTTCCAAGTCAGGAAATAATAACTGTAGCATGTATGAGCCAAAAGCTTCATCGCAGTGGAATATACCATTGTGGGTACCCAATTTCTTTGGCGAAAATTTGGTGGTTAAATTCATTCTCGGCTCTCGGGTAATTAATGTAACAGATTATTATTTATTTATTTATAAATTATAATCAACTGTTGTAATAACGGTAAAACTAAAAGTATTGTGTACAATATTGTAGCACGATCATTTGATACTACATACAAGTACACAACATATACATCAGCAAGCTGTCGTCTACCGTCTACTTTACTGATGCTAGTAGCTAGTATGCTCCTAGACAATAATTATTGTAATTGTAAGTTAAATAAAGCTAGATAGCAAAATGAYACCACAGATATATTATATATATACATATTATAATATAATATGCMCGTCCAGCTCAGTGTTGCCAACCAGTTATGCCACAGCCTACTATACAAATTATAGAAGTCTGTCTGTGCGGGGCTGGTACTCGTGTTTGTGTTATCAATTTTATTAATTTCAAATAATATATCACAGAACAAATTGTGAATATATCCCACGAACCAAAAATCTTAGATATTTAAGGAGCAAATAATTATATATTTTGTTGATTTGTTCTCAAATTACGATTATAGACAATAATTATTATTATTGAACATTTTTAAATAATATTTTAATTATTTAATTAATAAACAATATAATAATATTCTATGCTAATATGTTTATTATCTTGTTCATGAACGACATGAATCACGGACTAAGATAATAAATAGACAATTAGTAGATATATGTTAGTTCGAGATCTTGCTTAAACGTGCGGATAATCTAAAATAATATCTACTAATTACTATAATGTTTAAGTCGCAGGCGTAGATAATAAATAAAACCTGTCAGCAGCTGTGCAATTTGTTAAGTACAGATTAAATAATGGATCAGTATAGATTTTTTTCATCAACTCTATCTATGTGAAAAAACAGTTTACAAAATTGTAAATAATATTTGGGTATATAGTTTGTGTTCTTAAAGTTCTAGACTTTCAAGATACAAATATCTAATTTTAAACAGTTAAAATTAATTGATTAACCAAAACCTTATACCTATTGTTTATTTATAATAATAATAATTTATTTATACGTTGATTACTGGAGGTTCGATCATATTATTTTCATAATGTACGTGGAAATGATTTCAGATCTACTTGATTTGTTCAATAAACTATTAAACTTCGTAAGTGTAGTTAACTTAAATTATTTTTTGTTGAAATATATCACATTTGTATGTAGTTGAATGTAGCTTAAGTGACTTTTAAGTACCTAACACATTTTTCACTGTACATTTTATTTTGTTTGTTGGTACAATAAAGTATAAAACATRTACATATTTTACATTTACATACCTAATATATTCATGTAATATACTTATTAACGATATGATAATACTTTTGTATGTCTATTTAGAATAGTTATATAAATATATTGTATTTACAAATTGTATTACTTTTAAATTTTGTGCTTAATGTTGGTATACTTATAAGTAGGTCTTTTACAGTTTCAATAGTATGTAAGGCAATTTTTTGGTGCATAATTACATGAGCCTTAGTTTTTACAGAATCCATGACATTGAATGAAAAACAATGTACCTATGCGTGATTTAAAATTATTATTATTATTATAGATGACTGAAGTTGGAGTCTTAGATTCTTTCACATTTGTACATTCTGCCATAAATCTCAACCCACAGCATGAGCAGTTCCTCAAAAGAATTCAATCATCAATTGATGAATTGAAGGTATGATTTTAAATATATGATTTTTCAAAATAAAATATTTTACTTTTTTTCTGTTCCCTGTTTATTTTATAGAAATGGTTACAAAATGTATGTACAGAATGGAAAGCAGAAGATTTAGCATCTCTTGGCAATGTAATAGAGCCACCAATGACACCTAATAATATAGATCTCAACATGAATGGCACTGATTATATCACGCCACTTATTAAAGAAAAAATAGACTCTGTGTTAGGTTTTCGAAATCCAGTTAGTCCAATTTTATGGAGTGTTGGATTAAGACCCATTCAAGATAGTAATTCTAAAGATGGTTTTGAAATAGATGATGATCAAAGGCTACATACAGATTTTGTTGCTCCGTCTTTTGGAGATTATGGAAGCCCGTCATCAGAACCTTGGAATGTTTTTCAGGAATCTAATTATGATCTGGATCACACAAATATGGTAACTTACAAAATATTATGTAAAAAATGAATGCTTATGAGATTAACAGTTATAAACATTTTTAAAGGATGAAAAAGGTCCTCAAACACCAAACATAAAATTATATAGAAAGGAAGAGGAATCAGACATTATACAAGACATAAGTTCAAATTCATCATGTTTTCCTAATGAGATTAATCAAAGTAAGGTATATTATGTCATTTATACTATATTCCTATCAATCCGTAATTTATTTTTATTTTTGTATGATGATTTCCAGTCGATAATTTATTTCCATGCCAAAAATGTAAACACCAACTCGGGTCTATTGAAGAGTTAGAAGAACATTTAAAAACTCATCAATTTAAATCAAAATTTACAAACATATATTTAACTTGTGGTAATTATATATCTTACTCTTTTTTATTGTCACTAATGATACTTTGATAGCATAGTTTATTTTATAATAAGGTAAAAATCWATAAAATCAATATTACTTTTGCTACAATTTTATAAAGATTTATCAATACCTACACTAATGGATTAAATTATTAATTTTTTTTTTACTTATACCTGTTATATGTTATGTAAACAGAATTTAAACCGCTATGTGTAGCAAGGCCCTCACAATATGCTGGTTTCTTTTTTTTAGTATTTTGTTTGCAATTTAAGTAAAATAAAATTTTTGGTGTGGATAAAAGAAAAACTAGAAAATATAGATTGTATTAGTTTTTTCATAAATTATTCTTATCACAGTTAAAAAATATCGAAATTAGCTTGTCACAATTTTTATTTATAAGTGTATAAACATACAAATTTTACAAAATTCATCACTTAAAAATAAAAATTTGATATGTAATTTAACATGTTTTTTATTGGAAATTTAAAAATATATATCATCATTTTTTATGAGTATCATATTTGGASAATATTAGATATTCAAAAATGTAATAATGGTTTATCTTTATCATCAATAAATTTAGTTTATAATATTAAGTTTTTTATCCAGTAAATATTATTGGTTTATATTTGAAACAATCTACTATTACTTAAATCATCAATTTTTATCCTCAATTAAATTTTTAGACAAATTTTGTACTATTTATAGGAAGGCATTATTTATTTTTTTGATAAAATGTTTTATTGTGAGTAAAAAATCTTAAAGATGTAAAAACATTTTTTATAATGTAACGGGGTCTTACAAAAACCAAGTTACACCATAGTTTTTTGTTGTAATAAAACATACATTAAATTTATTGTGAATACTATAGCTTTTCATTTACAATGATTTAATATTGAATTCTATTATAGTGATTTATTTTACTGTTAGTTTTTAGTAATATTATACTTAATAGTCAATAGCATAGCCGCATAGGTATGCTTATGGTAAAATAGACAGCTAAAAATTAATCTCAATATTTTGAAAAAATGTGATTGTGTTTTGTAAAACATAATATATGTAGAAGTTTCATTTGTAATAATATTTTTCTACTGACAATAAATAAAATAAATATATATTAAA